CCAGTCATACGTATTTAACGACGTGTGCTAAGCCTATTTGATTTTTAGAGCACTGGAATGTTCATCACTGACAAAAAACTTCCTCTTAGAACTTACGTCATAATTTTTCGCGTACAGCCCGTCACACCGACACACGGGACAACCATCGTGACCTGCGCTTGAACCAGTGGACCAGGTGTAGATGCAACCATAGCAAAACCTGTGTTCGTTTTTACACTGGTATGGTTCTTTAAGGACCGAGTAGCTGAAATAGAAGTACATAGCACTGGTGAAGACGAGGGCATGTGTGGGACAGACCTACTATTTATGTATCCAAATGGTTTATATAGTGATCGGATTCAAACGCGTTTAGAAGAATTTATCCGAACACTCGGTAAACCGTACACACTACAATAAACGTCGAAACCCCCTGGTGTACTAGACTATTCACTGGAGATTTGCACACAGGCCACTCGACAATTGCACCAATGTGATGCCAAGTGGCATATATGTATGGTGAGGTGGAGCAGTATCCACTTTACTGTCGCTCCTCGCTGAACGGTAGCTGCAGTCTAGTCATGTCAGAAAATATGACTTCAGGGTGCAGGCATTCAGGCACACTGAAGTGCCCCCTTTTTCGTGCAACAAACTAACCCAATTGAAGTTATTATGGTTTGCCTTGCCTTGCCACCTTAAGCAGTTTTCAATGATGGAATTACCAGAAACCGGTCAGACATTCGCCAGCTGCGCGTAACTGCATCAAGCAGTCACTAGCTGCTTAACATTCCAACGTGAACAGAAGCTTAGAAGACAAAAATAAGTTAAACGATAATTCATCCTTACAAAATTTCGGCGTGAATATCCAATTCCCACTTTTCCTGTCTGAGCAGTTTCTGTTCGAAGGGAATAAATGAGACCTTCCCTAAGAAAAGGAGCATTCCCATGATGGTCTATTGCAAACACTCCCTCAGACTTCTGTGGGATATAATCTCCGGATCTAATCTTCTCACTTTCTTGGACAAAACATGAATTCGTAACTCGATGACCAAGTGTATCTCTGAGAAAATCGTAGCTCAATGATCTACAGCGTGACACAGAAATAAACTCTTTCAGAACTGGAATAATGAAATTTTAGGACGCACCATCGTTTCCTACACTGATGGAATACCGGTTCAATTAGCCAAACCCCCAAGCTACAAAGCTTAAGACTCGGCTGGAATTCCATCTTCTCGATCCCACTTATTCGACTCCTTGAGTAGTTCACATGTAATCATGTTATGGGTAGTTGTTTATCTGACAGCTGCTTGCAGTAATAAGGGAGACGAAAGGAACATCGACAGCAACACGCCATTGGTAAAAATGACTCCAATGTGCCAAACCACAATATCCTAGTGAACAGAGCCTGGAAAGGAGTTTTGAGAGCAGAAACCCTTGAAAAAACATCCGACTGGCACGAAATGAATAAACACACGGGTTCATTTAGTGCCACCGCACTTGCACTTTTTTTCTCATCCTGAACAATGTAGGTAGAAATATTTTTTAGCTTAAAGATATATCTAGTAGGTATTTTGCAACGGCGACTTCGAACGATAATGCGGCACTGCCAGAAAGCTGTCGAGCGGTCGATTTCAGCGTCATATAAACGGGTGTGGGGCTTTCACTTAGGAGTCCGAGTTGTGAGTTCGGACAGTGCTGCAGAAGGCCTTCAAATAAGCACTCAAATGAGGTAACCAAACAAATATAAGTTCCATTTCCCGTAGAAAACTGTAGTCCAATTCCACATACTAGTAGTCAACGGCCTATTTGTATTTTCTGGCGAATAGTACATGTACAGTTATTTAGGACATTTGTTGAATAAATTTGTCGGTGCCTGTAGATCATAACAATTTTTTATCGATGGGCACGGTTGGTCCCCTTCAGTTGATGTAGAATCAAGCAGATAATTGATCTTCCATCCTCATGTGAATGGACCAGGTAGGAGTAAGGTTACCACTGTGGAATTCACCCAACAGAATCAAGTAAAAATTCAAAAGTACAAGACAGTGGTTTCATGATTGATGTAATCATCCTTGACGGGGATTGCGACCTTGAAACAGCTCAAATAGAGAATGGCCAGTCTAGCCTTGGACTCAAGAGGGTTGATCAGTGATGCGCAAGGCTTGTTTCTTCTGCGGAGGATTCATATTGTATTGCAATTTATGTGGTGTGTAAGTTCGAGTGAGTTTGTATCCCAGGAACATACCTGCCTCCAGTTGCCGGATAGTTCTCATGGTCATTGGGATGTCCAGTCCAGCGCATCTTGTTTCTTAATCCGACTTCAACTACCATGTTTTACCCTTTACAAAAACATTCGCCAGGCATTAACTGGAGTAAGATCACTGCGATTAAGTTCTCATATTGGGCGTTGCGTATTGCTGAGGAACCGCTTGTCTAGTAGGTCTACCTTACTTTGCAGCGAATTCCAATAGTTTTCATTCGGTCGTTACGTCACTCCGCGGTCGTGCAGTACCGTCTGATGAGTGCCGAACAGAAGCATTCCGACCAAATGGAAGTTATCCTCAGCCAGACTTGTTGCAATGATTTACTCAGCAAGGTAGGTTCTCATCTTCTGCTGTGACTCCGCTTAAGCAGGATAGGTTATCGAAAAAATCATGATTATTTGACCACTGTTTCTAAGCTTATAATTGGCGATTGGTAAGACAGGAAGGCGGACTACCAGCAGTTAATACCACTTTTCAGAACCTTAAAAATTGATGAAATTCTTCCATCAAACCAAGTATGGTACGACTACCTCACCGTAATAAAAGGTTTTACTTAGATGAAGCTTACGATAAAACCGGAAACAGGTACACGCCAGTCACAGCCCACAGGTTCGCTATCCTGTGTTTGCTATTTTTGTGCTACCTTTATGAGATCGATAGCCCGTAACTGAAAAGACATCCTTGAAGAGCTGAGAATCAAAGTCATGCTTCCCTGAAGATTTACGTCTTGATTCAAACGGGAGTATGCAGTTCAAAGTCACCTATGGCGACTTCGTTTTTTTGACCTGAAATAGAGTCATATAGTCTCATCTTATTTCTAATTTCTGCTTCTGGGTTCTTGGCCGCCGTATAGTGTGATGTTGAAGCTTATTGAAGCCAGTTAGAAAAATGACGGAGTTTAGTATCCCGTGATTACATTTTCGACCAGCCAACATCAAACTACAACAAGTATTTGATACAACAAATCTGATACAGGCAATTGCGGTCATGCTACAAAGAGAGCCTACCAGAACCCAATATTCAAATCATGAATTGCATTGCAGAAGAAATATGATGGCTGCACGACACATATCTTGTCTAAGTGTCTAACTAGCTTATCTAACTCGTCTGAGTTCACTCCTACCGGATAATCGGTTTTGTTGACTCTGTGGTATCCTGTAATCCGCGCTCATCAAATACGTGACTGTCTAGACTGACCGACCCTAGATTTACGACTGCAACCGGTGGATATCCACCCTAAAAAGAGTTGTCAGCGCAATAATCAAACTTACAAGCGGCGAGGCAAATTTCTGAAAATCACCAGACCATTTCGGGGAGCAGAGCGGACAATAATGTTAGGGTTTAATCTGGAAAAGTTAATTCTGATCAGAATACGTGGTAACAGATGAATGGGGCTGGAATTTCAGCTTCTTCTCTGAAATGATCTCACGATCGGCCCTCCACATACGAGCACCATTCTGTTCTTGAAAAAAATGAGGATAGACGAGTTCGGCGTTGAAACCAGTTCAAACACTTCCAATACTTTATGTCAATATTGGGAATTGACAACATATAGATGAAATTAAATTGTCTTCTTGGAAGTTAAAAAAGAGCGTTTAAACCCAGTAAGAATAGCAATTTTGAGGGCCTTTTGCAAAAAGGGTTAGCTGGTTTGTTTTTAAAACACAGCAGTTTGTCCTCACTTAAAGTGATTATATTATGAACTTTGATGACTCCAATGTGCCAAACCACAATATCCTAGTGAACAGAGCCTGGAAAGGAGTTTTGAGAGCAGAAACCCTTGAAAAAACATCCGACTGGCACGAAATGAATAAACACACGGGTTCATTTAGTGCCACCGCACTTGCACTTTTTTTCTCATCCTGAACAATGTAGGTAGAAATATTTTTTAGCTTAAAGATATATCTAGTAGGTATTTTGCAACGGCGACTTCGAACGATAATGCGGCACTGCCAGAAAGCTGTCGAGCGGTCGATTTCAGCGTCATATAAACGGGTGTGGGGCTTTCACTTAGGAGTCCGAGTTGTGAGTTCGGACAGTGCTGCAGAAGGCCTTCAAATAAGCACTCAAATGAGGTAACCAAACAAATATAAGTTCCATTTCCCGTAGAAAACTGTAGTCCAATTCCACATACTAGTAGTCAACGGCCTATTTGTATTTTCTGGCGAATAGTACATGTACAGTTATTTAGGACATTTGTTGAATAAATTTGTCGGTGCCTGTAGATCATAACAATTTTTTATCGATGGGCACGGTTGGTCCCCTTCAGTTGATGTAGAATCAAGCAGATAATTGATCTTCCATCCTCATGTGAATGGACCAGGTAGGAGTAAGGTTACCACTGTGGAATTCACCCAACAGAATCAAGTAAAAATTCAAAAGTACAAGACAGTGGTTTCATGATTGATGTAATCATCCTTGACGGGGATTGCGACCTTGAAACAGCTCAAATAGAGAATGGCCAGTCTAGCCTTGGACTCAAGAGGGTTGATCAGTGATGCGCAAGGCTTGTTTCTTCTGCGGAGGATTCATATTGTATTGCAATTTATGTGGTGTGTAAGTTCGAGTGAGTTTGTATCCCAGGAACATACCTGCCTCCAGTTGCCGGATAGTTCTCATGGTCATTGGGATGTCCAGTCCAGCGCATCTTGTTTCTTAATCCGACTTCAACTACCATGTTTTACCCTTTACAAAAACATTCGCCAGGCATTAACTGGAGTAAGATCACTGCGATTAAGTTCTCATATTGGGCGTTGCGTATTGCTGAGGAACCGCTTGTCTAGTAGGTCTACCTTACTTTGCAGCGAATTCCAATAGTTTTCATTCGGTCGTTACGTCACTCCGCGGTCGTGCAGTACCGTCTGATGAGTGCCGAACAGAAGCATTCCGACCAAATGGAAGTTATCCTCAGCCAGACTTGTTGCAATGATTTACTCAGCAAGGTAGGTTCTCATCTTCTGCTGTGACTCCGCTTAAGCAGGATAGGTTATCGAAAAAATCATGATTATTTGACCACTGTTTCTAA